TCATATAAACACATTCAAGATATTTTTGATTTGTTACATTTTGAAATACTTTTGCTTGCCGTGTTTAAACTGCTTTTAACTTATCATAGCTTTCTTATCGAGTGTTTTGGAATAATCTGATGATCTCGTGACATCAGACAGAGCCCTACATTTGAAAGGTTTAGCATCCTATGAGCATCAGCTAACTCCCTCTAGAGCTTACCATCGGCCCAGCTTCTCCTGGAGGTCCTGGCTCTCCTCTCTCACCAGGGAGACCCTGCACATGAAGAATGTTGCTAACATTCAAATGTGATCACTTATAATAATAACTTCACCATCTTTTAATTTTAATTCTGTTGGTTGACATAGAAAATGTTTCTCTAGAGTTTCAAACTCACATTAACAGCAAAGTTTTGTTATTGTGCAGGAAAATTTGTTAGAAACAAATTAAATTCAACAGGATGATCATGGTGAGTGTTTTAAACGTCCGTGCTAAATGTGGCAGCATTTAAAGACTCGTGTCTTGAACCTGAACTTTTTCGAACATTTATTTCTTACATTTTAGGAGATTTAAGAGTGAATTTAAGAATCATGCAGAAAGATTTTGTTTTTATTTGCTACAGCAGCATGTACAATGTTATAAGATTAGCTGTGGGGAAAAGAAGGAAAACAAATGCTTCTAATTTCAAACGTCATTTTTTTAACAATTCATGTTGTTTTTAACAATTTGTTATACAAATCATTAAGTTGTCTAAAATATTGTAAAGCATCAGTGGCTTCTTGTGCCTTGCAGTACAGCGACACAAAGCAGCACTAAAACAGAAGAAGTGGCCAAGACACAATGAACGAGAGAGAGCTGCAGAAATATATCTATAATATATATCATTCAAAACGTCCGTGGGACTGTTGCTCTCCCAGTCTTACCTTAGGTCCTGGGAGACCTGGTTCTCCTGTTAAGCCTGGCTCGCCTCTGTCTCCCTGCAACACATTGAAGAACTGTCTATAAAACAACCAGTGTGAATAAGAACACACACGAATGCTCCTGGTTTTCTAACACTTACCTTTGCACCTTTAGGACCAGGTGCTCCCCTTGCTCCTGTCGGACCTGCTTCACCCTGCAGAGGGAAGACAGGTCAGAAAAGTGTTCACCGAAATAAACAGCATAAAGTATTTTGATCTGCCTGTTTTCTATAATACATTTAAAACTTAATACATTTGCAGGATATTCAAAGACATAACTTGTTAGGCTTATAGTTTGATCACATCTGAACAAACATGTGTGATGTCACTATTTCAGACGTCCTTTATGAACAAAGGCATGCAGAAAGACTTTCCTCCAGATCATCCATGACAGTCACCACATGTTAATTTTTGAAATTGTGGCTGTTGTGTGTACATTCTTGGGTACACAATAATTATCGCTCTGCATTGAACTCCTCATCACGCAAATACTAATTTGCTGGTGAAACACAGACTTAAAAAGCGAGTTAAAGCCAACAGCGAATCGATGAGTCTCCAGAAACGTTTCTGTCTTATAGCCACCAATGCTTTATGTAAAGTGCAGTTTTCTTCCTTGTGTCAGACATAATAATAATAATAATAATAATGTTGTATTATTATTATTGTTATTATTATTAATCAAAGGGAAAGACAACCAAATTGATATATAATGTGCTATAAAGCATGCGGGTGGGTGAATAACACAGGGAGGAGTAACTCTTTGAGGACATGCAGCTCTGTACAACACACAGAAACAGAGAAGTGCAATGCGTCTATTCAAAGGTATTATCGTGGTGTTTCCTTATACCTTCATCCCTGGAAACCCCTGGGGGCCAGGATCACCAGGTTTTCCTTCTTTACCCTGAGAACAATTGCATCATGTTCAAACATGCATCCAAAGATAAAACAGAATGAAAAACGTCCAAAGATATCCGTACTTACAGGCTTGCCTTCAGGCCCTCGTGGCCCATGTGTCCCTTTCTCACCTGGTGAACCCTGTAATATAAAAATATTCCAATCAGAAACTTTCTTCTTACATTAAGACACAACAGCAGCTATGCCATTGGCTCTATGAATACCAAGGCTGTGGCTGCCCATCGCTTCAACCGTCCCAGAATATGACAATGAACTGCCTTCAAATTTGGAACAACTGATCCCATAACATTTAATGGAAAGTACTTTCAGACGCTCCACCACAGTGATGGAATCACAGGTATGATTTTACACCGAGTGGTTTCCTGATGTGACCGTCCCATCTGGGTTTTGGACTGGCACTGGGAGTTCACTGGCTCGTGACCCCCTGAAACGGTGCGACTTGAACCAGGGATCTTTTGGCTGCAAATATCTTTCATGAATTCTAGGAAGAATTCATTTTTCAAATCCTTGTAAATCAGAAACCTTAATATTCCTAACGTGACTGTACATGGCTTTGGCTGCAGACACGATGGAGACTTTTCAGGAAACATAACAAGTTTGCAAGAGATGCGATTTAGGCGTGCACTGCTTCTACATCGTGGACACTTTCCTTACCAAACAAATACTATTGTGACTCATTAACTGGGCTTCATCACAACCACACATCATTAGAGGTAATTAGTAGAGGAGTCAAGTCTTGATATGTATGTTTTTTGAATGAGGCTCCAAATCCACATCAAATAAACTAGCAGTTTCCTAGTTTCCAATTGCCCTGTTGTGGTCTCTTCTCCCCTCTCTATGTAGCATATACCATTTTAGATGGGTGTGTAATGACCTCCAATATAATGATACAGTAAAGAACTGATTATTATTGCATCCAAAAAAGCAACAAAGAATGTTGTGTAAACTAGCAGCACTGTCTATATGTGAACATCAAAATCAAAGAATAACCAAGCTGTTAAATGAGAATGATGATGGATCACACTCATCAGCACACTCTTTGTTGAGCAGCAGGGATCTTGCAGACATCAGAGCCTGGTGTTAAAACCATAGGAAAGGAAACAGACATGTAATCTATCAAATGTAGGTCTTTATGTGTGTTACCGTGGGTCCTGGTGGGCCGACTACACAATCGCAGTCTTCTTCTTCCACTGTGGCACTTCTATTCAGAGGGCACTGAAGATACACATACACAATTAAATTAACAGAGTGGGTCACAAACGGATTACCCTGACAACACCTCAGTGGTGAAACTTTTATTAGCGACCTCAGATTAAATATGTGTGAATTCACCCTTACCCTTTCATCATCCTGCGTATCAGGAGAGACAAGACAAGAGAAAACATAATGGTTATCGTCATCGCAGGCTCATACACGCAGCCATACACAGCCTTTCAAGTACAAAGCCTTTGAAGTGGAAAGGAAGAGAGAGTGAGAGCAGAGATCTTACGACGGAGTAGATTTCACAAGCTGTTTCTCTCTCGCTCTGATGGGGATCACAGTAGAGACGCAGCTTCTGAATCTCCACCTGAGTCGAAACAACATGGACGATCTGATTATTTCAAACATGCTTTTTGTAAAAACAGAAACTAGTGTCATCTTTGATGCGTGACACGATGCTTTGAAGGCTGAACGGTGATGATTTTGCAACATGTAAATGTTACAAATGTTGCAAACTGCGCTTCATATGATAATAGTAATGATATCTACATCCATACATGCTATAGCCGTGTGTTAAAAACAAAACAAATGTTGCATGGTACCCTAATGATTGTAACACCTTGCAAACTATAATAATAATTGTAGGATCATTTATGCAGAATATCATTCTCTGGACAGTCAAGCATATTAAACAAAATATATCCAACCTACTGGCAACATTTTAAAGGGGTCCAATTATGCTTTCCATATTTCTTTTTGTATATAAAGCGTTGAAGCAGTGAGTGCTCATATCAGTCATGGCAAAATGAGTGAAAGCGTGGATTGTCTTCCGCAGGTTGGGGATGTGTTGCTGCTCTGATTGGATGAGCACCAGTATTTTGGGCTCTTGCTCAGGTAAAATAGTGCTCTGCCAGCTAACAGTCCTCCCCTCATGTAGACTCAAAGGTCTGGTTGTCATATACAGTTGTGGTCAGAGGTTTACATACACTCATCATGGGCATGGCTGTCCTGTTTTGGGCTTTCTTTGAAGTGTTCTTTTTCCAGGGTGGAATGATTATACAGCATACATCCTAAGTTACTTAAATAAAAAGCATTGGTTGTGCAATTTTAATTTATTTACATACAGGCTCAAATATATACATACATCTCCTTGAAAATATTTTAGGAAGTGGTTTTGAAGGTTCTGCAATACATTTTAACTTGACAAGGCCTATTAACTTCCCACTGATGATCATGATTAACTATGACTGGTAGTTTGTCTGTGCCAGGATAAAACAGAATTCGTTTGGCTCGTTTGAATGACCAATACTTAAAAATTGATCATGTGCAAGAAGTCACAGAAAGTCTGAAAAGGAAATCTGTAGCTTTATACACTATAGACTGGGAGGGACTCTTGGAGCCATTTCTACGGCAGATTTCCTTTTTTTGGAAGGATACCCAGATGTCACCCTAAAATAATAGGAAATTGCTTAGAAAATCCAGGAACCACCCAGGCTTAGGGTTGCCATGAACTGGAAACTGCTGCAGCATCAGTGTCACTGTTCACAGTGGGCGTCCACATAGACAAGCCAAATGATTTCTGGGAAAGTTTTATGGTCAGACAAGACAAAGATTGAGCTATTTGACAAGAGATATGTCTGGAGAAATAAAGGGGAGCCTTCCCAAGAACATTGCACCAGCTATGATGCTCTGGAGCTGTTTAGCTCCCAGTGCTACAGTACACTGCACAAAGTGGACGGAACAATGAAAACAAGAAGCTACCTCAAAATTCACCAAATTCACCACAGATGGTTAAACCCAGGACACGAGTGGATGTTCCACCAGGACAGTGATCCCAGAAACACATCAGAACTGGTTTGGGAATGTAAACCATTAAGCTTCTGGAATAGCTTTTCCAAAGCATGGTTGCTCAGGAACATCTCACTATCCTTCTAAAAGAGCTGGAGGAGGTAACCTGGGATGGGGACATCTAAATATTCTGCTTAGGCTCCTGCCTCTGCAACTCAGGTAAGTGACAGGAAATTTGGATGGAGTTAGAAATTATCATGGCTAATTTCTTACCAGAAGCATTTCCTATACTATATTTGGTCAGGTGTGGTGTAGCTCCCAGAATGAATGTACTGGACTCAAATAACGTATTGCTTTAACAAAAAGGATCATCAGAAAGTAAGCTAAACATGCCAATGATCTAAACTCTTTCTGCATATAAAAACACTCCAATCTCCTCAAATCAAATCAAGTAAAAGATCAGCGTCAGGGCTCAAAGCTCCAGTGTAATTACATGTGTTACTCACAGGTACAGTGATGTCTGTTCCTCGCCTCTTAGACACCTGCGTTTCCCCATTGATGTAAATTGGCTCCACCGGTTTCAGCATTAGTTCCTGGATGCGCTGGTCGTCAAGGAAACCGGTGACCTGGCGATGCCTCACTAGTACTTTAATCTGATGCCATTTTCCATCATAAAGAGTCTGAGAGAGATGATATAAATTTCATGAAAAAATGCCTTTTGTCAGAACAAAAAGATGCTTTAATTAAGAGTTTAAAGCACGTTTTTGGTCAAGCTTTCATTCATGAGTAAAACTGGATGTGAAAACAATTATTAACCTTACAGTTCTTCTTTCAGTCAGTCTTCTGTTTCTGTTGCCAGCCTTAACTGTGTTCATGCATTTCATTAAATATAATTTTGTGGGCAAGACCAAAAACGTGTGTTCCCTAAATGCTCTGCAAATAGTTCTGACACACCAGGTACTAAGACCGAGGACTTTTCAGGCCATAGGCAGAGAGAGAGACAGAGCAGCGATTGTTCCATTGGGGCTGAGAGTCACTTTTGAAAGGACAAATCACAAGCTCCTAGCTCGTGCCACATCAAACCAAATCAAACATATGCAAACACAAATTCAATATAATTACAACCCTGTTCAGGCCTACACATTGAACATTGCGTCTAAGGACGGAGGGTGGTGGGTGCTTCTTAGACTGAACCTGGCGATTATTACCCAGAACTGCCTCGGAAATAGAGACATGAGTTCCAAGTTCTACACATCCAATAAATGGTTTCCACCAGGAAAATACGATGGTTTAGAGTAGGAAACAATTTCTTTGGGCTTCTCCTGGCATCACATTGCATCTTCTCTGGTTCCACTGAAGTAAATGTGGAGTGATGTTTAAATAGCTGCCAAGACTCATTCACTAATATGAAGAGAAAGCTGAGGTAGGTGGAGATGCTCTAATAGCACAATGAGTCCTTTCAAGGCAGTACAGCAAACTACACTTCTTACATCCTGCTCAGATGTTTATGTTTCTCACATTCAGATTAATCATTTTATGACACTTACTCATATGTATA